TGATAAAGATGAAAATATTAAACAAAATAATATATAAATTTATATATATAGTAAAAAAAAATATAAAAGAATTTATATTTTGCTTTAATCTATTCTGCAAAATCATTTTATTAAAATTCTTGACTATTAGACAAATATATAATTTTTTTTTTAAACTTGGTTAGAAAAGCTGATAATATTTTATTAGATCTGATTGTAACTGTATACATAATTGTTAAATTATATTACAATTTATAACTAGGTAATATTAATCTAATTTAAAGTTTTGATATTTATTTAGCTGTTCTAATAAGTAGCCAAATACTGTATATAAAAATCTAATCAAAATATATATTAAGAAGAAAAAGGCAAGTAAGCCTCTAATAAAAAAAATAAGATAATAAATAATACTACTCTAATAAAAAAAACTTAACTGTCTAACTAAATCTCAAAAAGTCAGTTAATGCAAAACAAAAATTTAACTTTGCATAGTATAATATAAACATTATAAAAATATATATATACACATATTTTATTCAAAATATCTTTGCTAACAACAATTAAAATTTAGAAGATTTATCAGTTTAGAAAAATAAATGTTAACAAAGCTTCTTTAAGTTAGGTTCTAAGCATTTTTAAACCCTTTTCAATAAATATCATTTAAAATTTTGATTTTTTGCTTATATTTACAAACTACTTGTAGGCTGACTTATATAGTAGATAGAGTTAGCAATGAAGTTTAATAAAGCCTAATAGAACTTTAAATAGAACTAATAGAGCTCTAAATAAAGCAAATAGTTACTAGTTTTTTGAGCTCTATTTATATAACTATTGAGCTCTATTGGCTCTATTGTTAACTTTATTTATAGTTGATTTATGGGTTAATCTATAGTATTTGTTTTATTTAAGTTCTTATAATCTAATTCAGATCATTTACTTATCTGCAGATAATCTAAATAGCATCTATCTGGATTTAATTATTATTCTAAATATTTATATTACTGAACTATTTTTTTAGATGATTATTCTAGATTAGGATGTTATCGATTAGTTTAATTACAAATATATAACAAGATATATAGTAAAAATTATTATTTAAGATTTTTTTGATTAATTTTTAAAAATTTCTAATTATAATAAATTATTAATAAAAATAAACAATTATTATAAAACATATCTATAGTAGTTTTGTACCTATTATATATTTTATTATGTTCTTTAAAATTTTCTAAAATTTTATAAGTTTTGTATATAAAATTTTTAACATCAATTTTTTAAATTGAAGATAATATTAAAGTTAGAATTAATGTTTGAGAAAGATTTTTGGGGTATAGAACATTTTTATTTAGAACATATTACATCAATTAATTAGCCAGTTTTTGAGATAATACAACATAGGTGATAAAACACTATAGGTATGTTTTAGTAAAAGTAAAAATAAATTAGTGATTTATTATATAGTAATCCTTATATAATTAATCAATTATATTTAAGATTATTAATTAAATAAATTATTTATTGTCTGGAGCGTAGCGACAAACACTTAATTTTTATGCATTAAGTGATACAAAAGTTATGTTTTTGATATATTTTGACTATTAAATATTTCTTTTTGATGCATTAATGTAATTATTATAATTAATATATTAATAACGTAATTTAGAAATTTTTTATCTGTCTCACTGCATAATGCATAATTACAAAACTATTTTGAAAACAACAATTGATTACTGATACTGTCAGGGATATTACCAAATATGAGGAATTGCTAAAGCTTTATATCTACGTAATTTTTGAAGTTTTAATTGTGATTAGGATTAGAGTTAGTTAGTGTTAGGTTAAAGGCAGATATATAGATAAAATTTTTTTCTGCTATTTTTTATTAATGTATCAAGACAGGTTTAACTACAGTTTTTCATATTTTTTGATTTTTTGATTTTTGATTTCTTCGGGCTGATCTGTATAAACAAAATTTCATGATTTTGATTGGTGATCTATATAAAAAAAGTTATATAAATACAAGGCTTTAGCAAGCCTTCAAATATGGTAATGCTTCAGACTTATATCGGTTTTCGATTCTTAGTATATATATATATATTTATTAATTTTTTTTATATTACATTAATCTTTTTGTTATATTTTTTTTTGCTCTACTTGTTTCTTAGCTTGTATTTTGTTCTTTTTTGTTGTTTGTTTTTATTTTTTTATTTTTTTCTCACCTTTGGCTGTCTTGCTAGTGATCTCTTTATTAAGATTATTTTGTTACAGGCTAAACAAAATGCTTAAGCTTAATATTTAGGCCTAATATTCTGCAGTTACTTCTAAAAGCACTTATAAGCAACTAGCTACACTAGGCAGATATATTTACAAGAAACATATTATGATAAATTAACAGAAAATCTGAAGACTATCTATTCTAAAAGATCTTGTCAGACCATCATTTTACAATAGAATATTATCAATCTGATAACATCTTCTTATAAAGAGGTGAAAACAATAAAAAAAACACTAATACTAATTCTAATACTAAAAAAGGAAAAGAAAAGAACAAAAAAAAAAGAATCTGATAATAAGTCTATATCGACTAACAAAAATTACATATTATAAGATAAAGAAGTTCTGTATCTAATTTTATTTTAATAAATTTTTTTTTGTTGTTAAGATAACCTCTTGATTACTTTTCTTTTATTTGATTATTGTTAACTTTTACAATATAATATACCATACTGTATATAATTGTAGAATACAACTAGCTACATATACAACTTTTAGTTGCCTATTAAAGCAATCTACTTCTACACTAGATGTTATACCTATAACTTAACTATAGGATTATCTATTTAAACTCTCTGTGCCTATGTACATTTAATTATCTAATTAAGTAAGAATACTAATACCTTCTTATTTTCAAATATCTAACTTAAGACTTTAAAACAGGCTCTATAAAGCTTTTTATTTTTGAAATAAACCTGTTTAAGCCTTTTATACTCACAATCTAGCTAACCTAGTCTTTAATTAATATACATGAACTATAATCTACTACTTGTGCTTCAGTTCCATAACAGAAGTATTCTCCAGCTATTTTGTATTTACTAATTTTTTCATAACATTTTAATTATATTATAGTTTGATTACTACTATATAATCTACTTCTGCTCTTATAGAGTTTACTCAAACCTCAATACCTTTTTTAAGACAACCTGATACTTTTTTTTTTAATACTTCTAGCTAGTCTCTCCAAACTACTAATCCAGATAATCCAAAAGGAATACTAATCTCTTGGTATCTGCATTGCAAATTTATTTCTTCTAATTATATATGCCACCAAAATAGGTTTTCAAAAAACTCCTATTTCGTTTCCATTAGAGCAATTTAAAATTTTTTATATGCAAGAGCAAATCTAATTTAGATAGTTATGTTTTTTATAATTTCATCTTTTCAAAAAAAGTATCATTTAAGTAAAATAAATCAAAAACAATTTTGTTTTTAAATTTTAATTTCATATCCCAAAACCTAAAATAATTTCGTCAATATGTATACTTCTGATATTTTAGCAGCCTAGTTGATAAAATACCTTGCTCCAAATACCTAATCCTCATTCAGTTCTGCCAGCCTTGAGTGAAACCTATTTTAATAATACAATTAAAAATCTTTGCTATCTTTTTATTTAGAAATTGCCAAACAAACACTCCACCATTATATCAGCTCTGTTAGCTTTTTACAACCCCAAAAAAATTATTTTGGGTTTGCATCAACTAAACTGGCTTGCATGCCTTTGTATAACTTTTTATACCCAAAGATCTTCCAATTCTGGTATAACCATTACTTAATACAACTGCAATTACAAAGTTATAAATTTTCCCAACCACAACAATAGTTGCCAAATCTGTTTTTTTCAAATTCAATTCTTCATGAAAATTGAACTTGTACTTAACTACTTGGGGGTGCAACAACTTATGTCATAAGCTCTGGGCGAGTACTAAACCCAGGTCTACTAAAGGGTTTAAAAATTAGTGAAATGTACCAGTTCTGGGTCTTGTATATGAACTTTTATAATACTATTGCTACAAATGAAATCAATACCTACCCGCTACTGAATTTTGTGAACCATTCTGCTGTTATTAAAATAATGAACTTATCAATTGCTGAAATTACAGTTAAATCAGGAATCTATCTACCACGAAGCCTAATTTGTAAAGTTCTTGCAGCCTTACATGCGTAAGAAAACCAATTTTGCTTTCGGTTTATTTGCCAATACTTATATTCCTGGTATAAAAATGGTTGATCTAATAATGATAATAAAGTATCGGTATATAAAAAAAAGTTAATTTTTGACTTCAACCAATGTAACCTTATTGCCTAATAAACATACAAATTAGAAAAAACTTACTATCGCGATTTTATATCTATTTTTTTAAAAAAAAAATCCGTGTGGCCATGTCACTAGGCACCAGTTCATGATATGAAAATCAATTAATTAAATTTGTGCGGCTTAAGGTTATTTTTTCATATCATAATCGAAGAAACAAAAAAATACTCCCTGCAGAAAGCGTAATAAAAATTTTGACACATAGCTGTAGATTATTTTACTACAGCCATAAGGGTATGTTGAGTATATTATAAAGTCAATGCACGGCCAGTGTTGAAGCGTATCCATCTCAGTCATTCGCAGACAGGCTCCAGATGCTGGTAATAACGCCTCGCTTATCCAGATGAATAACCTCAGTTTTTTTCCGACCTTCAACTTAATACCTAGCAGACGCTTGCGCAGGGGTTGTGATTTTCATATAGATATGAAAACATCCGCAGAATACAAGCGAGTAACCTCAGTTTTTTCTGCTCGAGTAAATCAGACCGTGCCGTGTTTTAGGATCAATCAAAATAAAAATAAAATTGATCGCACGTGATTCTTGTAACAATCACACAAATAGACTCGCACACGTGATATAGAATTATCTCTAACTGCGTGGTAGCTACGTACGTACGTACGTGTTTGTCACAAAAATATTTACCTTTATCAAATGGCCCATTCCGATGATTCCTCGAATGAGGGTTCTGGTCAAGTACTATCTCAAGCAGAAAGAGCAGCTCAAAAGCTGTCGTCGGAAGTAAGTGTCTTAATTTCTTTTTTTTATGAACTATTACTCCATTTTTAATTTAATAGATCGATTAGGAGATCGAACGAAAAGTAAAAGATATTGTCCGACTTGCTTTGGCATCAGAACTTCGCAAGGTTCCTTTAAAGCGTGATGAAATTACAAGAAAGGGTATATTTAACTAAAATTTTCAGTTCATGTTTCGCGTGATTCATCACGATAACATTGTTGTTTTTTCTAGTTTTACATGAGCACTCTAGAGCGTTTACGGTAGTGATGAATAAAGTTCGAGAACGTCTACGTGATATATTTGGAATGGATTTAGTAGAATTGCCAGCTAAAGAAAAGAAAGCTATCACGAGTTCTGGAACTACGCGTAGAGGTAAGACATCATTTTACAAAAAAATTAATTATTAGCACCTAAAATTATTTCAAAATACAGGTGGTGCAAATAAGGACAAATCTTCTTCAAAATCATACGCTTTACAAAATATACTCCCACAAAAATTAAGGGACACGGGTTTGATACAGTGGGATCGAAATGGTGAACAAGAAACTATGGGATTACTCACTGTCATTCTTACTTTAATCCATGTAAATGGACGCGTCTTATCAGACGGTGAGTATAACATACAACTACTGTCATTTAACGTATTTATATTATTGTTATACAACTCTTATCATGATTTAGATCAACTTAGACATTACTTTCGTACTCTTTATCTTGAGAACAATCCAAAGTTTGAATCAGACAAACTTTTGGCGAATTTCGTCAAACAGGGATATTTGGATAAACAGAAGTCAGGCTTTGCTGATAACTCTTCACAAGCGCCAGAAAGGGAACATGTAGAATATCGCTGGGGACCAAGAGCAAAAATTGAAATGCCAGAAGCAAATCTTTGCGATTTCATTAAATCAGTAAGCGTCCTTATGAAGATTCGACACTGCTTTGTAATATTAATCATTGTATTTAATTCACAGGTTTATGGAGATGATGCCCCACCAGATATAATTAAACAGATTGAAAGAGCGTCTGGAATTGATACCAATACGGCTACATAAGACATTAATAAAACCTGTGAGCTTAGCTGAGTCGATAATCTTAATACAGCTAAGTCAGCTTAGTTGACTGTTGGCTCAAAAATTAAACCTACTATTAATAAACTATATAATCGGAAACATCACTGGTCACATTCGTATTTTATATTGTATGAATAAACGTTGTGTAATGTTCCCAAAGTAATAATAATAATAATAATAATAATAATAATAAACGATAAAATCGTTAACATACCATTGCGCCATAATGATGCGTATTTTTCAACCTGATCCCGGAACAAAATCAAGAAAACATGAATAGAGACTTACCTAGAAACCCATTTCGTTCGCAACGCCCTCCGAATTCATATAAACTGACGAATATGTAAAATTAATGATAAAACACATATTTAGCGATCCTGGCCAATTATAATTTATCGGACGTGACTAAGCCGATAATTTTATCGACTTAGTCGGCTTAGCCGTCTTAGTCATTTAGCCGATTTTAATTCAAAAATTAATAAAAATTTGCTTCAACCTTGCTCGTATTCCATGCTAATTGTTTTACGGCGGAAAAGAAAGTTCGACTGGTTAAGCCGATAATAATTCATTCTGCCGATGTTTTCATTATCGGCCAGAATCACTAAAAGTATTAAACCCAGTTCCCCACCTCCAACAAGTCAATCCCAATTAAAACTCTAACGGATGAAATGAACACAGACCTATAAACAAGCATTAGTTTAACGATGAAAATACTCAAAAGAACCGTGCTTGTCTTACCTAAGCAATAAAAAGAAAAAAATATATCTACGCACGCAAACATTCTGATTGGTTGGTGATATATAAAGCATATTGCGGGATGGGATCTAAACATTATTTATTTGGGTGACGCCAAGGGAAAACCTGACTTCACTCATATAAAATTTATATGATCGAAGCCTGGTTTCCCCCCACCATCACCCATTTCGTTATAAATTTACAGTCGATTAAGCCGAATTTTTATTAATTGAAATAAAAATTTGGCCATACCATAAAAAGTTTAACAAATTATCAATGGGAATGTGCTCCCGCACAAAAGATAATTGTTTATTCTTGGAAGTTCTACTATAATCAAACCCAATTTCAGATATTCTCACATACATAATTTTCTTATTTACTAGGGAAATCATCTGAAACTGAATTTACGGCCATAGCACATGAAAGGAAAAAAGATCGAATGTTCTAAACTAACTGCCAAAAATATTTTTAATATGCGTGCTATATGTAGTATAAACAAACAGCCATCTAAATTTTTTAATTTTTTAATTTTTAAATTTTTTTTCCTTTTTTTTTTTTTTTCGAATGTCATTATGGAATATAAACTCTAGAATATCCTTCAACCGGTCGACGACAACAAGGGCAAGTCCTAAAAAAAAAAAAAAAAAAACAATGAAATTTAAAAAAAAATTGACCATCAAAAATATCTAATTTTTGTATAAACAACTTACTTGTATTTGCGTTGGGCCATCGTTTCACGACACTGAAAAATATTATTGTAATTTTAGCACAGTTGAATTTTTTTTTTTTTTTTAAGAAAAAGGAATTAATTGAACAAACCTCATTGCAAAGCGCGAAACAACCGCACGGTTTAAGAAGGCACTGACGAGCTTCCCCATGACAAACAACACAAACACGGTCTGTAATAGGTTGGGACGTTAACTCGCATGGTACTCGCCTTTCATGAATCAGTGACAACAGTGCGGCAGACTCGTCAGGCGTAGATGACATACTGTTCTGCGTGAGCCGTCGATATTGTGTACGAGTAAGAGGTGTGGAATACATCAAATGTGTAAGAATAGATTGCATTGTTGACAAAATATTCGATGTTGAAGCTGATGATGTAGGTAGAACAGTAGATGTAGAAGCGAATGATGTCGATGGTTGCTGTTCTTCATGCTCTCTTAAATCATTTCCTAATAGTAGAAGTTCATCGCCAGGAATGGTAGTCTCATCTTGGTCTGAATCTTCGTCTACAGAATCTTCATCTTTTACATTTGTAAAGTCGTCATCTTCATCGTCACGTTCGTCGAATTCTTCAAAAAGAAATCTTTGATATATTTCCTCATCCCAATCAATGTCATCGACACCATCAATACTACTGTTATATTGCGGTGCGCTATTTGGTGCTGGTTGGCGTCCATTACAAAATGATTTGAACCAATTTATGACACGCATTATAGCCTCTACAAATACTTGAATGATCTGAAATACGAAATTTGTCCAGACAATTACACGACGCGGACCACCATTAGATTCTGTAGAAATAAGGTCATTCGTATCCTGTTGTTCGTTATCGAATCCGCACGTTGGTTTTCTTTTGCTCGAACTGTCGACAGATAATCGTGGTTTCTTTTTTTTCGAACGTTCAAATAACGTACCTAGTGGAACAGCTATTGGAGACAATTCATTACGAAATCCATCAACACGACTAGTTTCTATGACAATAGTACCAATTCTATATAGTGCCATTGTATAGTCCTCATGAAGTGATGGCATAGACCTAGCATCCAAGAAGAAAGTTCGACGAACGTTGCCACCGGTTACGATATATGCAATTACATGAAGAGTAACACAAATTATAATAATAGCTATCAAAGCAAGTTCTGGAAAACGGGCAAAACTTTGAAGCATTGGATAAGTATCTGATTTAGCAAGTAAAGCGTAGGCATAATGAACTGTATCAAATAATAAAATTAAATTTTAGAGATTGAATCTGTTTGCAAATATTTTTTAAAATCAATTACAACTTACTGATTCCTGCAACGCCAATGAAAGTAGTAGGTATGAGTCGATACTGGATTCCGCGTGGGTGAAGATATAGAACCTCAAGAAGAAATATATCAAAAATTTCGAGTATTGCTATAAGAAGCAAATCGGTATTTGACTGGCCTGGTGAAACATTACAGAAGTAATGAAACAATAAGGCATATTCATATAGGGTAGCGCTTTGTTCCCTGCCTGGCAAACTAAATTTAATATAAATTAAGATCATATGTAATAATAATGAAAATTATAATTTCATTAAAAATAAAAAAGTATATATATTTTTATTTTTTTTTCTTGCCTTCTATTTTCAAGACTTGAATGGAAAGCTTTCATGACGTATACGGCAGATAATGCCTTTAAACATAACCAAAGTGCTTGATGGTCGGTATAACCAGCACCGTAATCTAAAAGCCATTGTGAAAAATACGGTTGTAAACACATAGCACCTATCGCTAGTCGCGACAAAAGAACAAGTGAAGACTTTGCCATTAGATAAAAACACGGTAGTCGAATTAACAGACGGGTAGTCTTTGGCAAAGGTCTTGGGTTACGGGGGGTGACAATGGCGTTTATTCTATTGTTTAATACATTCTGTGATATATAGATCGAGATTGGAAGAAACGTTATTTATAAAAGTTATGGGAGACGAAAAACAAAAAGTTACAAGAGATCATTTTTACCACAAAGATTGCCAGATATAAATGATTAGAATATAAAAAATTCCATAAAGTAGGTTGATATTCGCGTGGTTCTAAAGGTTGTCCGTCGATATCTACTACCTCGATCCCAGGAAGCCACCGAACGACATTATCCGCCCCTTTAGACACGACTTCGAGCATGAACTCCCACATAGATGAGTCTTCTTGGTCCACACTCATTATGCTCCAATATGACCGGCTCGCGATGCAGTTTTAACGTTTTTGCCGCCTCAATTAATATTCGAACGGCTGTAATAATAATGAAAATGAAGTTTGAATTATTTTTTATGGCGTTTAAATTTACTGGATATTTAATAAGAAGAATTTCGCATATAAGACTCTCTCGCGTGACTATAAACAGAAATCACCAATGAACGTTAATCTTAAACTATCTCCGCAGCACAAAAAAATATTCATAATCACATGATTTAACATTCAACTTTATATCGATATTATTCGATCCATTCTTTAGTTAAAATATTTTCGCGTTTTGTAAAAACTAAGGAAGTCGATATCGAATTTTATCAAGATGTGAGAACACATACCTTGAAATGCAGCTTCTATCATTATAAAAAAGATTTCTTACTGTAAGCATGTGCTAAATTTTTGTAGGTCTTCTTCAGCTGCCGTACAACTTATTAATCCAAAGTCAGAAGTTGCCCGAAGAGGGCAGGCCCTTCAACTTAATATCACAGCTGCTATTGGCTTACAGGAAGTACTGAAATCAAATCTTGGCCCTAAAGGAACGATTAAAATGTAAGTTTTACGCCACGCCAATTTCATTATGTGGTGGTTCAAGAAGAGCGCAATTATAATATTCACAATTTATATAGGTTAGTTGATGGAGCTGGTAGCATCAAGATCACCAAGGATGGCAAAGTACTGTTGAGCGAAATGGTAAATATAAGCAATTGGAATTGAAATCTCACTATATTTAGAAATTTAAATATTCAAATCTTAAAATTTGGGTTTGTTAAGCAAATACAAAATCCTACTGCTGCAATGATCGCAAGAGCTGCGACCGCTCAAGATGAGATTACTGGGGATGGTACAACATCAATCGCTTTATTGGTTGGTGAACTAATGAAGCAGTCGGAAAGATATATCTCGGAAGGACTACATCCAAGAATTATTACAGAGGGTTTTGATCTGGCAAGAGATGAAGCGCTTGAGGTAATCAATTGATTAAACCCATTTAAATGGTGACCTGAAAACAGATTAGCTAACAGTATTATTAAAAATAGTTCTTAGACAAATTTAAAGTTGAAAGGCCCATTGATCGGGAACTGTTGGTTAATGTCGCTCGTACTTCTTTACGCACTAAAGTCCATACCTTGCTTGCGGACACGTTAACTGAAGCCGTTGTTGATGCAGTTTTGACTATTAAACGCGATAACGAACCAATTGACTTGCATATGGTAGAAATTATGAAAATGCAACATAAAACAGGAGTTGATTCGCGATTGATTCGTGGGCTTGTGTTGGATCATGGCGCTCGTCATCCTGACATGCCAAAGCGTGTCGAAGATGCATATATTCTAACATTGAATGTATCCTTGGAATATGAGAAAAGGTATTGTTAATTATTATCTATTCACTTAAATTTTAAACGGAGCCTTGAAAATTATATTACTTTTTTCAATGATAAAAATGATTATTTTAGTGAAATTAATTCCGGATTCTTCTATTCGACTGCTGAACAACGAGAAAAATTGGTTGAATCAGAAAGAAAATTTACAGATGAGAAAGTCAAAAAGATTGTCGAATTAAAGAAACAAGTTGTCGGGGATAGCAAAAAAGGATTTGTTGTTATTAATCAAAAGGGAATTGATCCATTATCATTGGATATTCTTTGTAAGAATGGTATTTTGGCGTTGAGGCGTGCTAAAAGAAGAAATATGGAGAGGTTAGTATACGGTTTCATGCGAGTTATTATATTAAAATAGGTTAATTGTTAATGGTTCTTTCATTAATAAAAAAAAAGACTTCAACTTATTTGTGGTGGTACCGCGCAAAATTCAGTTGACGACTTAACACCTGAAGTCCTTGGACATGCAGGGCTTATTTATGAACACATTCTGGGAGAAGAAAAATACACATTTGTTGAAGAGGTTAAAAATCCTAAATCAGTTACAATACTGATTAAGGGTAATTAATTGTTATATAAATTTTTATAGAATATGCAAAAGATTAATGTGATTGATATATTACAATTATGTTAATTATATTAATAGGCCCTAACGCGCATACGATTGCACAGATCAATGACGCAGTTCGTGATGGATTAAGAGCCGTAAAAAATGCAATTGAAGACAATAGTGTAATACCAGGAGCTGGTGCATTTCAAGTTGCACTGTGTTCGCATTTAACAAAATTCAAGGATAATGTTAAAGGACGAGCGAAGATGGGAGTACAGGCTTTTGCGGATTCAATGCTGATTATACCAAAAGTTTTAGCACAAAACGGAGGGTTTGATGCACAGGATACTATTGTTAATTTACAGGTCAATATTTTTTATTTGATGTGTTATTGAATTTTGTGAGTACAATAATAGCTAAGATAATTTATGATTATTATAAAATAATAGGAAGAATATGCAGCAGGACATGTAGTTGGAGTAGATTTAAATACTGGAGAAATCCTGGATCCAGTATTAGAAGGGATTTGGGATAATTATAGAGTTGTTCGTCATATGATTCATTCAAGGTATGTTTAATTCCATTTATTAATGGAGGTTGATATCATAATTAGGTTAAATTTCTAACAAATTAACATTTTAGTTCCGTTATCGCGAGTAACTTTTTACTGGTCGATGAAATGATGAGGGCCGGCAGGTCAAGCTTGAAAAATGATAATATTCAAAATTAATTAAGAAATTTTGCAATAAATTGTGAAATAATTTAAAAATAATAATTGCTACAAGGTGTTTAGCGCAGTTTTTTTTGCTTTGGACGTGGATTAATGAACCTTTCATTGACAAATAATTTGACAAAAAATATGGAAAGTGGTCAATAAAAACCAAGAAAATTGGTTCTAAGTAAAATTTTTTTTTAAACTTTAGGTTAAAATATCTCAACTATTAAATCAAACTTGTTAATTTTAATTCTATATGTTATAGACAAAAATTTTTATCAAGTTTGAACTAATAATTGTCACGGATTATCATGAAATTTGATCTATTTTGTGTGATTTTTAAAATTTTTTAGGACGACTTTTTTTTTATAGTTAAGTTAGGATTTAGGGTTAATAAAAGAGTGTGGATTTTAGTTGGGCTTATATTTTCAAATTGAGACCCCAAATTTCACGATGATCCGCGACAATTTAATTCAAATTTTAAAAAAAATAATTTGTTTGGTCTCTATTGACCGCCCCATCTATAAAATTTAAATTGGCCAAGATGATGAATGGTATTCTTTTTTTCTTTTTTAATTATATAATTTTTAAGACTGCAGTTTCCTTTCTCTATACCGAACTGGCTAGGAGAGTCCGTCGTTTGACGTGCGGGAAGGAGAGTCCGTCGTTTTACGTGCGGGAAGGAGAGTCTGTCGTTTGACGTGTTATTTGTTATAAAGAGTGAACTCTATACAACCAATAATATTTGTGCATGTGATTAAACACAGATGTCGGATGTAAGCATAAACTAGGTAATCTAAGTTTTCTAATACAGTAATAAAGAGAAATGCAGTTCAGTCATGTCATTTCACTCCATTATTAATTACAAATAATAAATTCAGGGTTTCTTACCTCTCGCAGCATTATGAATTTCCACTCCCGTGCATATATATGTTTTTATTATTGATTTTCCCTTTTTTATATACAGTATTAGTTTTATAATTAACAGATATGCATGATTATCAGCAATGTTACAATGGAAAGACATGTAAGATATCGCGGTTTTAACTTCAAATTACAGTATATGCGAAGAATATGTACTTGTAGACTAGGCAGTAATGAAGTCTATTATTTTGGTTGTTTCCTAATCATAACCAAACAAAAAAAATTTTTTTAAACCGAATAAATGTAAACGATAATACAGATGCACCAATACTTATCACTCTCATCTAAAAATTATTTTTTTAATAATCATCCAGGTTGGTAAAGTCAGGGATTTTACCAAAAATGGGGGATGGCCAACTTCCCCAGGATATTATACATAGCAACTGCATAAAATGTCCGCGGACACGTGATTTTAAACCAATCACGATACAGGATCAGGTGTAACGTAAAAATGCCGGCTTTTTTAAAAAAATCGTCCATAACTCAAAATTTAGACTACAAAACTACTTCCTGCGTCTTAGCAAAAAAAATTCCTTGCAAAATTTGCTATATGCACTGCCTTTTCTACTATCATCCTAGTGCTCACCCTTATCCTAACGTAAAAAGTTAATTTTTTGATCGAAAAACGCGTTGACGATCTGCGGTTTGTTTTGGCCAATGAAATGTTAGCGTATATCATCACAAGACCGCGAATTTTTATGCGGTTGCTATGTATAATACCCTAAATGACAATAACTTATTGTGCAAAAGTGACGTTATATGTCGTAATTCACGTGTTGCAGATCAGATTGATCTGGTCGGAAGACAAAATTTTCCGTGACAATGTGTGTGAAGGGTTCTACCACAAGATCCCGACATCCAAAATCTCGAAACCATATTCCCGGCGTGACAATTAACATTTAAAGATTAGTAATTACATTAACAATCATTGTCAGACTTTAAATTTTAATTGTCACGTCGCGCGATGTCAGTATTATGGCTTGTCGAGATTT